ATATAAAACAGGAGATAAAGTTCTCCTTTATTTTAATTGGTGCATTTCAAATGTATTTATTTAGTGGTTCATTTATATAATTCTGCTTTTATTTCTAATTATGTCAGTGTTGGTCCTCCGTACTGCAGAAGCCTGATAATCATCTATTCATTCATATCAGGTGTGTTGGAGCAGAGAAACAAGTAAAACATGCAGGACTGCGGCCCCCCAGGACCAGGACTGCCCACCCCTGCTTTAGATAGTGCATGTGTGCATTCTGGTGAGGGGTTAATTATAAGTGATGGTCACAGTTTCATGTTCAATAAAGGGTTTAAGAAAGTTTTTAAAACTTAATAAAGAAGGAAAAAACAAATAAGAAAACTTGCTCTTCATCATTCAGCCTCACTGGCTCTCTCTCTTCTCTGGCTTCTATCAAACCATCAGACCATCACTCTCCTTCTCCCTGCACTTTCCCAGGGTTCTCCTTGTTTATTGTCAGTTTTTAACCCCCTCCCCCCTTTTTTAATTCACAAGTCTTCTCACCCTCTTCAACATTCCCCAGTTTGAGAGGCTGAGGACGTCCAGGGCTCTCTTTGTACCACCACCACCACCACCCTACCACCAGCCAAAAAGAGGAAAACATCCACAGGCTAATATTTAGTTAAACTAAACTAAATATTGTGAATCAGAAGTGTCGACAAACACAGCTGAGACCAAAAATGTTTGCTGTTTGAGTTTGGAGTTGGTGTCTTTAACCATCAAACAAAACGAATAATAAAAAAAACGAGTGCGTTTCAAACTCAGCTACCACTGCTAACGGTTTGTCTCTGAAACGTGATGAAGCACGTCTTGACGCCTGAAGCAGGACATGTGAGTTAGCAGTTTGGACGAATAAAGTCTCAGGAAATAGCCCTGTGTGGCGCCGGAAGCCCGTGGACCGGCTCCAGCCACCAGATCTGGTCCAGGCCTTTTATTCGTCGGCTCGTAACTGTGCCACCGAGGCCTGGTCTCCGGACACCAGTAAAACCCAGAAATGTCTGGTCATTTGTGGAAAAAATAAATAAGAAGAGTGTTTTCTGTCTGTCTCTGACTCCGCCCCCCTTCGTCTCTTTTCCAGCTCGACTCTCGTGGAGTAAAATGAAACGAGAGGTTGTTTTTTTCAGGGTAGGGAGGGGGCCTGGACTGGGTTTATTGCTCAGCAGTAAAACCCAACAAAAACAGAAAAATGCAGTTTGAAGGAATAGGAGTCAGAGCAGGGGGCCTCAGTTGGGGGGGGGGGGTGGTCAGCCAATTTTAAGTGGGTTTCTGATGAACAAACAGAAAGTTTGCACAAAACTAAGACTAATATGGATTTTAAAACTGCTGAGAAGCGATGAAGTTGCCATGCATGATCTCATGTAAACGTTGCACAATCTGAGCTCAGACTAAATGTTCACAATGACTCTCAGCTACGACCAGACCAAATTTGAGCTCATTTTACACAGTAAATTTTGCAGTGTTAAATCAACACTTAAAGAGTTAAATTTAATACTGTGTCTGAGTCTATTTGGTCCTTATAGGAATTGGTGTCAATTTAAATCTTTCCATAGTGTTACATTTTCAGAGTACAATTTAACTCTGAACAGAGTTAAAAATTAACACTGACTAACACTGTGCAGTGTTAATAAAACTTAACACTG